TGTGTCCCCCCCAACACATGTGTCTTGCTCCCTCTGGGACTACTAGGGTGAGCAAAACACGTTGCGGGGGGGGAAGCCCCCCCTGAAGCCTTAGGGAGAAACGAGGGACAAACAGGACAGTGGGGCAGGGGCCCTGCAGGCCTCTTGAGAGGGGATTAGATGATGCACCGTAATCAAAGGACTGACATGCGGCCTTCCCCGTGGCTGGATTGCTTTCTAGAATGCAGCATCCACAGAAGGGGGGAGGGCAGTGCTTTCTTTCTATTCCATAACCAGATTCCCGAGATTCTGTGCTGGAACTGGGTAAAGTGCAAGTTAACGAGATTTGCTGAACATATCCACTCCCAGAATCTCTACCCTCCGCTTCTGGTTGGCCTGCGCCTGCTGGCCAACAGCTCTGCTTGCGGAGGAGCTGCTGTGGGGGAGGCTGGCAGCCGTGTTTGCGACCCCCGCAGACAGAGGTGCTGAGCCCACAAGTGGCAGAGGCCCTGGCTCCCCCCCCCCCCCCCCAAGCCGCCAGCCGGGATGTGGCATTCCTTCCTGAGAAGCAGCAGCAGCAGCAGGGTGAGCTGGTTGCAGGAAAACTAAACGGGAGTCTTGTGCCACCTGAACAACTAACAGGCGTTTCGGGGATAAGAATCTGAACCCTTCCTGTGCGGAGATTTTAAGTAGGAGGGTTGGGGGGGGGATACACAGTGGGGGTCAAAGGGCTGTGGAGTTCAGGAAGTATCTGGTGAAACATAGTCATGTAAAATTAAAATCTGATCAAGAAAAATACAGCGGGAGTTGACAAAGTGGTTGGGTGGGGGGCGTTCTAGTTTCTGCTGAAGCAGCAACAAGGCGCTGGAAGCCCCAGGCCTTTCTTCAAGGTGGGAAGGGGGGTGGCATGAAATCTCCGAAGGAGCCCTACTGCAGCAGTTTCTTGCTTTTGAAATCCTTCACTGGAAGAATGGTGACGGGAGGCTGAGAGGACCTCAGCAGCAGTCAGAGAAGAAGAGCTTGGCTGGCCCAGAGGCTCCCTCAGTAGAGGGGCACAGGGGGGGGGAGCAGCCCAGGGGGGGTACTGCTGAGGTTCGTAGGTCATATGACTGCATGGCTTGAGTGTGGGCGGGGACAAAGGTGGCATCCAGGTGTGTCACAGGATCTGGCCCCAGGCTCTGTGTCTCGAGAGCCAGTCTCGTGTCGTGTTTAAGAGCGGCAGACTCTAATCTGGAGAACCGGGTTTGAATCCTCACTCCTCCTCCTGCACATGCAGCCAGCTGGGTGACCTTGGGCCAGTCACCATTCTCTCAGAGCTCTCTGAGCCCCGCCTACCTCACAGGGTGTCTGTTGTGGGGAGAGGGAGGGAGAGGAGATTGTAAGCCGCTTTGAGGCGCCTTTGGGGAGTGAAGGGATTGTCCCTACTTGTTGGGAAGCCGCTGTCCTCAGTCGGGGTCTGGGTGGTTGTAAGCAAGTCCCTCGAGGAGGCAGCTGCGAGGCCAGTGTTGGTCTCCAGGCGGGGGTGCCCCTCATGCACTGGGAACTGGGTGATTGTCTCTGATAGGTCATGGCGGAATAAAAGGTGGGCGTCTTTCAGGTGCCCCCTCCCCAGCCGCTGAGGCCGACAGTTCTGCCTGGCGAAAGGAGGGCGGACCGGCTGACTGAGAGGGCCCAGCCAGAGCCTCCCTCGTTCCCTCCTGCCCTCGGCTCGCCTGCGGGGAGTGGGCTCTTCCAGGGAAGACGCACCATGGCAAGAGAGCCTGTGGGAGGAGCGTGGCCAGCTCGACTCCTGGTCTGGAGCCCTGCAAGAGCCTCCCGGGCCCTGCCAGGCGTTGCTTCCAGACGGGGCTCTGAGGGCCCAGTCTTGCCAGGTGCTGGGTGGCCTCTGCCCCAGAGTGGTGGCGCCTCTCACCAGTGGTCTGCTGTCTTGAGGGTGGGGGGTGGAGTCATGGAATGGTAGAATCATAGAGTCGGAAGGGACCTCCAGGGTCATCTAGTCCAACCCCCTGCACAGTGCAGGAGATTCACCAATGCCTCCCCCCTGCCACGCACACCCCTGTGTGACCGCTGTTCCACGCCCAGAAAATGGCCAAAAACCTCCGTTCGTCCGTTACCCAGAGAAGGCTCACAGGTTCTTCTGGTGCTTGCAGACGGGGACTTGCACTGGGGAGTTCAGCTCAGCAAGGGAGCTGGAGGGGGGTCAGGTGGGGCCCCCACAGTTACAGGGCCCCCTGGACAAAAGAAGGTTCTTGGATTGCAGATTCACTTTGACCTTTAAAACGGGGGTTGGCGGGTCCTTCCTTTGGCTGCTGAGTCTCCTGTCCGGTCTCCTCAACTGTAAAGGGGCGTTTTGACATACCCGGGGCCTGGCACTCTGCCGTGCTTCCCGGGCACCCAGCGGCACTGCTTCTCTGTATTTATTGATTTGATCTCTACCCTGCCCTCCCCCGCTAGCGGGCTCCGGGCGGGTCACAAGCCAGAGGCAGACCTGGGGGGGGCTGGCTCTCTCCGGGCATTGCCTCCTGCTTCCTGGAAGAGCGCCAGCCTGGGCTTGGTGGGCGGGGATGGGGATGGGGCGTGGCTGTGGTCTGTCAGGCCTGCGTGGCACTGCCCCCCCCCCGGTGCTTTGTTTCCCAGAGTCCCCGGGTGCTGAGGGTGTGTGGGCGTGTCTGAGGCTGGGGACTCGGGGCAGGGCAGGAAGGCTGTTGGTGTTGTGCCTCCGCCACCCTCCCCCGCGACCGAGAGGTCTCCCTGCCTGAGCTGAGCCTGAGGGGGGGGTGTCTCCGGCTTGGCGGTGAGGGCAGCCCCGCCACTTGCCCTTGGGCCCACAAGCGTTCCTGTCGAGGCCGAGCCGGCAGGAAAGACTCACGACCTCGTGACCACCCTGGAGCTGTGGTCCCAGAACATTCTGGTCCCTGCGTGTTTAGTGGGACATGCGCCTGGTTTGGCTTTTGCTGGGGACCAAGGGGGCATCTGGGTAATGGGTGAATTTCCCACCCTGCCTTCCTCGTGGAGCAGCCATTGTCTGGTGAGGCTTTGGGCCCACCCACGGGTGCTGGAGAGCTCGGCGGGGGCAGGGAAGCCAGGATGAGGGGCCCTGAAGGTTTTCTGAGGCCTCTTGGCGGTTCTTGGGCTGTGAGCACTCCTACCGCCGCCCTGGTCAACTGGTGGAAAGCAGAGATGATGGCTCTGGAGCAGCCTCTCCCCCAAAAGCAGAGGCCAGAATGCCCCGTGGTGTACAAAGGACCCCTTGGCATGATGTAACAGGTGGGCAGATGGTTAGAGCACAAGGGGAGGAAAACTGGGAGCCACTGCAGCCGAGCATGGGCGAAAGCACATCATTGTACCCACTCCATGGTGGTGATGGTGGCAAAGTGAGCTCACCGTATCACCTCCAATGTCCACGTAATGCCGTCTAGCAGACCTTTCCTGGGTTGTGAGTGGCCTCTTTTATTCCAGGCTGTGGCAGAATGGCCCTCTTCCACCCTGCCCTTCAAGGTTTTCCCCAACACCTAGAGAGGCTTTTCTTTCTCTCTCGGGTAACTGCTGCCACCACCTGACCTTTGTAAGGAATTGCCTGCAGCCCCCCCCCCCCCGAGTTCTGAGGTCGTTTCTCCTGCTGCCCAGTACCTGGTCATCACGGGGACCGTTTACTGCCTTCTGCGCCCCTGGAGGAATAGCCACTTGCCAGCTGACTGCCTTCCCACTGGCGCTCCTTTTAAAATAGCCTTTCCTAGATGGCGGAGGTTTATGTGGTACAGAGAACTACTACCAGCATCAAAAGTTATATTTATTAAAAAGAAATGTTTACAATCATACTTTTAGCACAGCACCAGACTGAGCAAGGGATTAAAAAGAAATGGGTAAAATACAGTTCCTCTGTCCCTCTCTCTATACATGCCCTATCAGATGTCAGAAATATAGGACAGGCTCCTTAGCTTGGGAAGTTACTGATCTCTACAGACTTACCATTACCTTGCAGCTTCCTCCAGCTCTCCAGGCCAGCACATGGTTAATGGCCACCTCCTCCTGACCTCATTTATTAGTTCTGTCTGCTCTGATGGACTCAGCACAAAAGAGCACTCCTCCTTGCTCCCCTGAGTTTTATCATGTCAGATTAACCTAATCTCTTTTTTTGAGAAAGTTACTACCTTGCTGGATCAGGGGAATGCTGTGGACATAGTTTATCTTGATTTCAGTAAGGCTTTTGGTAAGGTTCCACATAATATTCTTGTTGACAAATTGGTAAAATGTGGTTTGGATCCTATGACTGTTAGGTGGATCTGTAACTGGTTGACAGATCGCACCCAAATAGTGCTTGTTAATGGTTCCTCATCCTCTTGGAGAGGAATGACTAGTGGAGTGCCTCAGGGATCTGTCCTGGGACCTGTTTTGTTCAATATCTTTATAAATGATTTGGATGAAGGAATAGAAAGAATGCTTATTAAATTTGCAGACGATACTAAATTGGGAGGGCATGGTAATTGGATGTGCCGTCCAGCCTTTCAGTGTCTTGGAATAAGATACTTCAGCATTGTACTTTGCAGATAAAATTATCTGCATTTGCTGTAATTGAGACGCCTCAGCTGGTTCACTCCAGTCTCAGGAGACTGTCTGAGGGTGGTCTAGTCCTTGTTGTGTGTGGCTCGCCCCACGGAGCCTTGACCCAATACTATGGTCAGTGGGGGCGGGAGGTAATAAGCCCTTCTGGTGGGAGGTGCAGCGCTGACCACTCTGGCAGCTTCCCTGGGCATCGACTGTGGGGTCTCCTTCCTGTGAGGCTGGCTGAGGGGGGAGCAGGGGACATTTGGGGGCTTCTGCTCTTCCTCGGCCAGCGGATACTAGAAAGGGGGCGGGAGACTGCGACTTGGCCCAGGGCCTCTATGCTGTAGCCCCCTGCAGGGCTCTGTCTTGTGTGTGTCCCCCCCCCCCGCTGCATAGCATCCACGTGGTTGTCTAGGGATTTGGAGTGAGGTGCCTTCAGCGTGTGCATGGCAGCCAGCTCTTTTTCTCTTTCGCAGCTGAGTCGGGTGAGTCTGTGGAAGACCTGAACAGGTGCGTGGAGAAGGTAAGGGCCAATAAACTGAAGCTGACCAAGACAAGACTCGGGTGCTGTTGGTCAGTGCTAAGGACAAAAGAAGGGGCCATGGCTTGGTGACAGAGTGTCCGCTTGGCATGCAGAAGCTCCTGGGCCCAACCCCTGGGGTCTCCGGTTAAAAGGGTCAGGTAGGAATTGGGAGTGAAAGGCCTCCCTCTGAGGCCCTGGAGAGTTCCTGCCCCCCGTCAGAGCGGACCATCCTGGCCTTGAGAGACCCCCCCCCCAGGGGTCCGACACCGCAGAGTCGAAGGCAGCTTCGTGTGTCCGGGTGACAGAACTGCTCAAGGTCTGAGGAGTCTGCCGGTCCTGGAGGGGACTGGTGCTCCCCCCCACACACACAAGGAGCAGGTTCCTAGCGCGGGTGTGCTGCTGGATCCTGGCCTACAGTGGGTGGCTCAGACCTTTTCTGCGGCATGGAGACATGCCAGTTATGGCCATTCCTCAAAAAGCATGAACTGGCCACAGAGATCCGTGCTCTGGTCACGTCTGGGTTAGATTACTGTAATGCACTCTGTGTGGGGCTGCCCTTGAAAACTGTCCGGAAACTTCCATTGATCCAAAATGTGGCAGCCAAGCGATCCCCGGAGGCTGGGAACGGAGACCTCCCGCCGCTGTGCTCCTCATCCGTGTCCAGGCACCGTTCAGCGTTACCTCTGAGGGCCTTGGTGGCTTGGGGCCGGGGTCCCTGATCCCACCAGTTAGCCTCCTGCTCCCCGTGCCCCTGCCCGCAGAGGTGAGGCACGTGGCAGCCACGGACACGGGGCATTTTCGGGAGTGGCACCTTGACCGCGGCATGCCTTCCTCCTTGAGGCTCACACGGTGCCAGCCTGCCTCCCCTGCCTTCCTCCGCTGCCAGGGTGAAGCCGGGGGCGTCATGCGCCATCCCCCGTGGGCGGTGGTCTTCCTTGGGAAGGGGTGACTGTCCTCCTGCAGGCCTTCTCTGGGCTGGCTAATCGAGTGGGAGTTGCAAGAGGCCCTGCCAGGGTGCCGGGCGGAAAGGAGCGCCCCGGGCGGGGCCGTCCCGACCGGAGGTGGGGTGGGGGTGGGGGGCTGGCTTGCCCCCTCCTGGCCGGCCCGGGCTCAGGGTCCCGCCTTCTATCTCCTCAGGCAGCCATGGAGGCCTCACTGATCTTCTTCTGCTCCCTGCTGCTTCCGGCCATCTTTGCAGATGGTGAGTGCCAGTCCGGAAGAAGAAGACGAGGAACAAGATGACTCCCCCGCCCCCGGCCCCCTCTCCTGGGGGAGGGGCAGATGCAGAGCGGTCTGGCTGCTGCGGGGGGGGCTGCTCCCCCACCCCACCCCACCCCCTTGTCCCTCTCCTGGACGAAAGGCTTCTTCCCCTCCCCTTGGGACGCCTCCTCAAGGGCTTCTGTGGCTGGGTGCGTCCCATGGGCTTCGCCCGCCCAGACTGGCTGCTCAGGGAGGAGGCTCCCAGGGCGGAAGAGCCGGAGACGGTGGAGCCCTCTTGCTGTAAGGCCCGGGTGGCTCTCCAGCCCGAGGGGGTCCTGTGGGTGCTGCACGGGGCTTCCAGCAGCCTTTGCCAGCACTGTAAGGCCCACGGGGAGGGGGGGGTCGGGGGTCTGTAGTCTGCCGCCGGCCGTCCACGAGTGAGTTTTTCTCTCTGGTTTCCAGTGACTGATCAGAAGGAGGACAAAGACCCCTTTAACTATGGTGAGTGCCAGCCTCCGGGCGGTGGGGGGCATTTCCCTTCGGGCCGTGGCGGCTGCCTCCTCCTCCTCCTGGGTACGGACCCTTCTCCCTTGCCTCTCCTCAGACTACCAGACCCTGCGGATCGGCGGCCTGGTGTTTGCTGTGGTCTTCTTCACCGTTGGGATCCTCCTGATACTGAGTGAGTGAGCCGGTCGGTCGGCCCGAGGTCAGCAGCCGCCAGGCCCCGGGTTGGGGCGAGGGGGGGTGTCACTGTCACCTGGCACAGCTGCCCCCCCTCCATTCCGTGGATCCCCACGGACACTCCTGGGGGCACTTCTTCCGCCACCTGCTGGCCAGGCAGTCCCGCCCCCCACACGCGTGTCTGCTCAGGAGAGGGGGCGAGAAGCTCTCAGTGGGGAGGGCTGCTGCTCTGAGGTCTTGGGGGGGGGTGCAGTGGCCTGCTGTGCAGAGGTGACCCCCCCTACCGCAAATTCATGGCCTGTTCTTCCTTCCCAGGCAGACGATGTCGGTGCAGCTTCAGCCAAAAGCCGCGGTATGCATGGGGTGCTGGGGGTGGCGGTGCCCGGGGGGGGCATTCCCTCCCCCTCCCCCTCCGCCATGAATCTGAAGCCAGGCTTCAGTGAAAAAGAAACCAGGTGACTCTGGTCACTGATCATCATATAAAATCACTTCTCTCCCCCCCCCCGACCCCCCCAAGGGTGGCTGGGTTTTAAAAATGGGAAATGTGTCGGAGGCCAGAAGGTCACTGGGAGTGGTGAAGGGTGGGGGCCTGGCTGGTGAGCCCTGGCCCCTTGTATGCCCAGAAGTCACAGGTGCCCCCTCCCCTCCCCCTGAGGCCGGGAGGACATGGACCCCCCCCCCGCGGCGGCCTAGAGTCTGCGCTGCAGCCTTTGAGCAGGAGCAGAGGGCCTGGGGGGGTGGGGGGTCCCCCTGTGGCCGTGGGAGCTTGGCCAAATGCCCCCGGGCCAGTCACTCGCCCTCAGCCTGGCCTCCCTCACAGGGTTGTTGGGAGGATAAAAGGGAGAAGGGGAGGACAGTGTCATATAAGTGGCTTTGGGTCCTGCCCAAAGGAGAGCCAGTCAGCTTCCCCCCCCCGGACACGACGGCCCCCTCTCTCCAGTGCGGAGAGCAGCACTCCCCCCCCGCCCCCAGCAGCCCGGCCGCCAATCTGTGCTCTCTCCTCAGGGCTCCGGGAGACGAGGAGGCGGCCCCAGCAGAGAACTTGATGGCCTCAAATGGTAACCACCTTTCCTTGGGGGCCCTTTCGTGGTGGGGAGAACGTTTGGCCGCTCCGTCAGTGCCCAGTGCGTCTCCAGAGTGTTGCTGCTGCTGCGACGGCTGGTGCTGTGGCTGCTGCGAGGGTCGATTCGGCACCTTGGCAGTGGGGGGGGAGGGGGGGCTTCTGCGTGGCCAGGTGTTCCACATTCTCGCTGTGCTGGTCCCCTGCCGTGGCCATTCTCTTCCTGCCCTGGGGGTGGAGGAGTAGCTTCCGGATGGCTGTAATGCTGCAGTGAAGCTCTTTGTCAGTTACTGAGTTTTTTAAAACTTGAAAAGCCCCCTGGGTAGCCACGCCCTTTGCCCGCTTTGCATGGGCACTCTCTCGCTGCTGGCGCCTCCCATCCCACCTTGCCTCTGGGCCGGTGGGAGAAGAGCGGGGTGGCGGAGAGGTTGTCGTGTGATGTGTCAGCAGCCACCGTTCTGGGAGTCCCGTGGTCCCCCCTTTGCCCCAGGTGGCGGCTTGGCATCCCTGCCGCTTGGGGTGCTCGAGCCACGGCCAGGCGTCGGGGCAGGGAAAGGGCAGGGATCTGGGAGGGACAAGCCTTCCCGGTCACATGGCCACGCGGTGACGTTTCTCGAAACATCCCCCCCCCCCAAGCAGGTTTAGGGCAGTGGCGAGAAGGCAGAGAAAGGCCAGGAGCTGCATGGAGTGCTTGGGGAGGGTGGGGAGCCGCCTCCTGGGGACATCGGAGCCAGAGCCAACGCCCGGTGTGGGGCCTGCCTGGCCTGCGCTGTGTGCTCGGCAGGGCCCCTGTGGAGATGCAGCCCCTCCGAGGAACAGCCGGTGCTGGTTGGTGTGTCTGGGGCCAAACCGGCAGTCGGCGGCCTCGGCCTCGGCTTCCCTGCAGGGACAGGAACTTCCTCCAAACCAGATCAGTTCTCCGCTGCCCCTGTTGCATCTGGCACCCTACCTACCGACAGAGCCCCTGGGGGAAATGTGTGTCCACCGCAGCTGGGAGAGAGGGAGGGGAGAGGCGTGGGGTGCCCCAGAGTCTGCCCAGTCCCCTCCTTGGGAGAGGCCGTCGCGTGGGGCAGACATTGGGCCCCTGGTGGGTATTGCGGGGACTCTGCCCCTCATGAGTTTTTGTTTTTGTTTTCCAGCAACGGGAGCCCCCAAGGCAGAGAACTGAAATCAGCTTTTGAGGTGAGACTTCCGGGCGGGGCGGGGGGGGGATGACTTGTCTGGGAGGCACAGGAGAGGCCCACAGTGCCTGGGGCCCCACGATACTTTTAAGGGCCCACTAAGCTGTTTTAATTTCTTTTAAAATCAGAAGGGAAAGAATGAACTTTTAGAGTTGAAGAAAATGTTTTACTTTTTTTCTCACATCAGAAAGAAATGAAATTTTAGGGCCCATGAAAATCTATTTCATTTTGCCTCAATAATAAAAATTGTTGACGTATTTAAAGTTATATCACATGCACTTAGTGCCCTATGTGAGCTGCCCTGAGCCCGTTCGCGGGGAGGGCGGGGTATAAATACAATACAATAATAAATAAAATAAATAAATAACAAACATAATATTGATATTATTGTGATGGGAGGGGCCCAAGAAGGCCACGGGCCCACGGAAGTCATAATGCGGCCCTGGACTGGAGGTGTCCCGGCAGCTCCCCGTGTCCTGTCAGGCTGGCGCCCGGGGAAGACCTTGTGGGACCGGGGAGTGGCCAGGCAGGGGCCGAATGGGGCTTCCGGAGACCTTGAAGGGGAGGGGGGTTTGGTTCCACAGTCAGTCCTGTCCCCGGCCCTCCCCGTTGGGAGTCCGTGTCTGAGCACCCGTGGGCTGGACCTGAAGAAAGAAGAAGGAGAAGAAGAGATTGGATTTCTACCCCGCCCTTCACTCGGAATCTCAGGGCGTTTACAGACTCCCTTCCCTCCCCCTCCCCACAACAGACACCCTGTGAGGAGGGTGTGGCTGAGAGAGCTCTTGAGAGAAACTGCTCTTTTTCAAGGACAGCTCTTGTCAGAACTATGGCTTGCCCAAGGTCATCCAGCCAGGTGCACGTGGAGGAGGAGTGGGGAATCCAACCCGGTTCTCCCAGATTAGAGTCCTCTGCGCACTCAACCACCACACCAAACTGGCTCTCCTACGCCAAACTGGCTCTGCAGGCAGGTGGCAGCTCTTGAGGACAGCGGCTTGTCTTCTGACCTGCTCTCCCCTCCCCTCCCCTCCCCTCCCCTTCCCCCGACGGCTCATTCTTCCAAAACACCTAAATGGTGAAGTGGGAATCAGCCCCTTGGTCTAGAGAGGGAGAGATCAGACACACACACACCCCCGGCTGCTTTGCACTTTCCAGAGCTGGCGGTTGCCCCCTGGGAACTTCTGTGCGCAAGGCCTCCCCTGAGCCCGTCTGGAGCCCTGACCCCGCCTCTGGGCAGCCCTTTCCTTCGGGGGGGGGCCCCTGCCAGGGCTTGGCGGGCGGGGGGGATCCCTCCTAGCCAGCCACGAGGCGGCTCTGCCCTTCCATGGAGCTCTTCGAGTTTTCCACTGCCTGGGGGATTTTGCCCTTGAACTCCCCCCCAAAAAAAATGTTTTGCAGAATGGCCTTCAGTCGGTCAGGGGAGGGCACCCAGTCCAGCGAGGCCCTGCAAGGACCAGCACAGACCCTTCCTTTCTGCACAGACATTCCCAAGAGGAGAGGGGGGGAGCGGGTGCCACTGGTTCCTCCTGTGTAGGGCTGCCACGCCCACTGCCTTGGCAAATGCTGAGAGAGGGTGGAGTTTGGGGAGGATGTGACGTTGCTTCCAGATGACTCTCTAGGCATTTCCCCTAATCTCTATGGCAAAGGCATTGGGGACGGGGGAGGGGAGCTTCCTAGAGCATCGCTGTGGAGGCCGTTTCCTGGCCTCTTCCCTCCGGCTACTCACTTTTAGGAGGGTGGAGGATTGGGGCCGGGGGCATGGATGGCCCTCTGCAGGCAGACCGATGGCAAACCCGCTCCTGTGCCGTGCATGGAGAATGCCCGCCCCCCCCCCCGGTCTGTGTGCCACCCTCCAGACCTCCCCTTTGGCAAGGGGGGAGCCAAGGCAGCACAGGCCCCCTTTCACGCGGCTCCTCCCTCCTTCCCCTGCAGACCAAGAGACCAGATGATGGACAAGTGGATCCCCAATGCGAATGGCGTGCAGAAGCGCGGAGGCAAGGGCCGTGGGGCATCGCAAGGGACCGCAGGGAGCTCTGTGTCTTGAACATCGGTTCTGTATTTTAAATCCCCACTGGACTCCCCCTCCCACCAATACTGTCCCACCGTATAATGTGCATCTGTGGTGACTGTTGACTCCACTTTGACGTTGTGTTTGTCTGTTTCCCATTCCTTTCCTCTAGTGCTGTTGCAGTGTGGTGCCCCGTCCTGTGAGAACGAACGAACGAACGAACGAATGGGGGGGGGGGGTTTTCCCCCTAGGGGCTCTGCGCTGGGCTTTGGCGACTGCCCCAGGGTGGGGGTGGGGGGGCAGTTTTCTTTGGAAACCTTTCCATGGGATAAAATGCTGGGGCAATAACGGAGCGCCCCTTGGGGGAGCAGAGGGTCTGGAGGAGGGGAGCGTGGCCCAGAGAACCCTGACCATGCCACGCCCACCAAAGCTCCCCCCCCCACACAAAGGCACTCCTTCCTTGCTCTGTAGGAGGGATAGAACACCTTTCCTCCCACCCCGGATCATTTTTTAGCCAGACAGGTGAAGCAGCCCTTCCCCCCTCCCTTCTTTAACCAGCACAGGGAGGGAGGGGGGGGCGGGGGAGGAGGAGAAGGCTTTGTCCAGGAGGAGGCATAAGAACATAAGAGGTGCCAATGTTGGATCAGGCCAGTGTTCCATCCAGTCCAACACTCTTCTGTGTCACACAGTGGCCAGAAATACCAGGTGCCATCAGGAGGTCCAGCAGTGGGGCCAGGACATTAGAAGAACTCCCACTGTTGACCCCCCCCCCAAGCACCAAGAAGACAGAGCATCACTTGCCCCAGAGTCCCTATCTATACCTTGTGGCTAAGAGCCACTGATGGACCTCTGCTCCATATGCTTATCTAATTCCCTTTTGAAGCCCTCCATGCTTGTAGCCGCCACCACTTCCTACCCACTGCCTAGTTGTCTACCCACTCCTTGGCAGGCTGAGAAAGTGAAGGGCAACCATGTGGCTCTTTTAGCCTCTAAGCTCTGCAGGGCCTTGTAAGTGTGGGGCCCTTCTGAGACAACAGAGAGCTTCGAAACAGGGCTTTCCTGGGGCTTACTTTCCACATACGCCTTTGCTCAAGTGTTGCAAGGCAGAAATGTTTATTTTTGTGAGATCCCCCTCCCCACAAACAGTATGCAAGATTCTGGCTGCCAGGTCACCTTCCCAGCGTTCTTTGCACAACCGGCACGAGAACTTAGGTAGGGGAAGGGTGTGCAGTTCATTTACGTGCGAGGCCCATTCTGTGCAGAGGCCCCTTTCCCCAGGACTTGTCCGGAAGCAAGCCCAGAGTAGGGGGTATCTTCTTCCCAGGTGGATTTGGGAACGCAGCAAGGGCAGCGGGAAGCCGGAGCTGTCTTTGTGCCCCCCTCACCCGCCTCCTGGTCTCATCCCTGATCTCGATCACGCATCCCTGTGGCTGAATGAAGCTGGCAAGTAGCAGGTCCTGACCTGCCTCCCCCCTCCCCATGTTTGGTGTGTGGGGGCCACACGTGTTCTGCTCTCATGTACCCTTCTGTCACGTCTGTGGTGTGCACTTGGTGATGATCATTGAAAACCCCAGGTAGAAAATGTCCAAGCTGTAAAAATGTTGTAAATCCGAAAGCCAAATGCACCGCTGTGTTTTCATCTGAAATAGGCAACCCGTGTGTACAGCTGTGATCAAGGACTGTTGCATTTTGTGTTGTGTCCCGAAACCCAAGAGAGAGAAGGCATAAAGTATCATTTCTACTTCACTGGTTCTGCCTCTTCTTTGCCATGCCTTGCTGGATCTTGGCCAGCGCTCTGCTTTGCTCTGAGGTCGGTGGGGAGCCGAGAGGGGGCCTCTGTTGCGGACGGGGGCCGGGGGTGGGGGTGGCGCTCAGGAGATGTCTTCTTCAAGGTCTCCTCTGCACAGTTCCCAGCAGAGTCGGGTTCTTCTCCCCATATTGGGCTCCTGTGTCAAGGCTGGCCTCAACTGGCCCAGCACCCTCCAGGCAAGTCCCAAGTAGCCTGCCTCTAGGCCCGCAACACACATCAGTTCCCCCCAAGCCTGTGTACAGTCTTGTGAGTCATGAAAGAAACACGTGAGGTTCTCCCCTTGAAATACTATCAGTAGATCAAGTCACGAGATCTACAGTCAGCTGGGTTCTGAGAGGGAGCAGGAAAGAGAGCTGCTGGAGTGGAGAGTGGTGTTTCTTGCCTTAACTGCTGGGGAGAATTAGCTGAGGTTACTGTGTGGGAGGACAGTGTTTGAGGGTGTGTGGATGTGTATAGCCTGCTGGAGAGTGGTGCTTGTTTGAGGAGGCGTGGTTTCTGTTTCTCTTTTGCCTGTGTTGTAGCTGATAGCAGAAGGTGGTGGTTGTTGATTGGGGAGGGTCTGTTTTGGCTGGGGCTGGCTGCTGGCCCCATCCTCCGCTGGGTGAGCCTTGAACTGTGTAAGGCTCCTCCTTGCCAGCGGTGCGAGCCTTTGGTGCAAGCCAAAGGGTGGCAGCTCAAGGGATCTTAGCCTGGGGGCCCTGTAAGAAGCTGAGTAGCTCTTGCATCCTCTATGCGTTAAGGTTTTTTGCTTCTCACAAGTAGTCTTGTGAGGCAGTTTGGCAGAAGAGTTAGCAGGGAAGCCCAAGAAAAAACTGAACTGAACCACTTCTGCAATGGATTGCAGCAGTATGGCTGGTGAGGGAGCGGAGGCAGTGACATGCAAAGTCTGTGGCATGTTCATATTTTTACCCGAGGGTAACATCAATTACACTTGCAGCAGGTGAAAGTTGGTATCCCTACTGGAGGAGAAGATACAGGGACCTGAGGCACACTTGTCCACACTCCGTTTTATAAGGGAAGGTGAAGAGTTCATGGACAGAACGCATGAAGCACTCTTGAGAGGGCAACTGGAGGATTCCCTACCGAGAGGGGTAGAGGCTAAAGTGTGCCGACCGGACTTGTCGTCTCGAGAGGTATGCTGTCTACCAGGTGCACACATCCAGGATGCGAAAGAAAGGGCAGGAAG